ATATATATATATATATATATATTTATATTTATATTTATATTGATGAGTAGTATTTTTAAAAAAATTAATTGACTACAAAGCTACAAAGATTCATAATCAATTAAAAGTATTAATTAAAAAATTATTAAATTAGAATTAAATGTTGTTTTAATATAAACAATAGTTTTTAAATCCAGCCCCAACCCCTAACTATTTATGGCTACGTTATTAGGGTTATCAAAACGACTCTTTGTTCATGAATAGCTCGTGTTTGACTCGCTAAACAAATGAGCTGAACACGAACACACTTTTTGAGCTCGAAATATAAACAAACCGAACACAGGCTGAGCTTGGGCTCGCTCATATTCGGCTCATTTACACCCCTAAATATAGTATAATATAAAATTTATAAAAAATATATTATTTTTAAAATTTTGCCTGGCTAATAATTCATCTACAGATTAAGATTTCATCCTCCTTACAACAATTACTATCGCCCAGAGAATGTAATTGCTGTGCCCTCTTACTAACAAATTCGTACCCTTAAGGCCTTAATCAATGCCCAGTCTTTCTCTTGAATTTTATGAGGGGTGGATGGGTAATAGTCCCTTTCGGCCATTTAATAGTGCCTCTAGTGGACAAATATGTCAACTCACTCAACGCTTAGGCCTTTATGCTTGTCTTGTATATAGTTGTAGATATACTCATCCATTTTTTGCTAACCTTTCATAAAGGTTTATATTTAGGCGCCGCTCGGTTGTAAATTTTTTAATTTTTAAATTATTTATGATAAATTATAAGGCCAATCATCAAGTGAAGCAACATGATTTTCTCATGCTAAATTTGAAGGTAGAAGAGTTCGATAAAAAGCTCAACAATAATAATTGGCAATGGCAATTTGTGGCAAAGACGATGATGGGTGATAAAGATGAAGATGATAGTATACGGGTTACGACTATTTGTATATATCCCAAAGAGAACTAGAAACTTTCTGGATCAAGAAAAACTCCATTCTAGTGTTT